CCCATTTACACATACATTGCAGAGATTGCCGCTGCATTCCCAACTTCCAAGGCACTACAATCGTTGGGAGAGGTAAAGAAAAGGTGGCGAGGGAGGTACTGGAGGCTTATAGGATAAAGAAGGAATGTCCTGATAAGTGTATCAGTCAACCCTCACTTTTCCTTCACAAAAAGGAAGTGGACTTTATTGACACGTGTGGTGGCCGAGTCATTGATGACTAGTCACATTTGTAGTATTTGTGGCTTTTGCTGGTTTTATTTTGCTGTTTCTATTTTTTCGAATAAAAAATTCAGTTGATGGTCAGCGCTCGTCCTGTTTGCCTCTCCGTCTTCGTATTAGTCTTTATTGTGCGCTTTCACTACTTTCAACATGCATAACCAACTCGCCTGCATCGCCACATTAGCCTTTCAGTACCCCGGCAGCTGGGGGTTTCTGCTGAAATGATGGTGTAGGGGTAACTCAAGCACTTGCAAATTAACAGACCTATGAAAACTACTAAGCAGGTACGAAAACGCCTCCGCAGCGTTTGCCTCACTCGCGCTTCATGGTGAAACAAATCGGCGGCGAGCGACTGATGGAACACACGTCAGAATAACATATTGCGTCGTGAGTTTATCACCATAGGACAGTGCTTGATCGCGCGCGTGGAGCATTAGCGCAGCCAGGAATGATTTTTTGGGCCGGGGATGGGGGGGGGGGGGTGATAAGGGTAGCGTGGGACGGACGCCCCCCCCCCCCCCCCCCCCCTGGCTACGTAATTGGCGTGAAGTGACATCGGATGGCACTTGGACTTTCCGTAGGAGTGCCGTCGGGCGACAGTCATACATGGTACGTATAATCACTAGTACAACAGGCTACCGTTTAACGCCCAGTCGTGACTGCAAAGTTTATGACCCACATACAGATATCCTACCCCACCAATTGTTTGTACAGGGGGCATACAAGTTGTCGCTGGGGGTTAAAGAACGGAAAACCGACGACTGCACTCTCGACTCGGTCGTACCGCACCGATCGCCTAATCCGCGGTTCTTCCGTAACATCCCCTGTTTTGCTTCGCTATACTCCATTAACGTGCACTTGTTTGTGAATGATACGAAATGTACAAAAACGATGTAACTCACCCCAGCGAGCGCCATGGCGCAGTTCTCCGGGTGCCACTGCTGCGGAAGATCAGCCTTCGAAAGATCAGCAGCCCGTTCAGCTCGCCGAAGAGGGCTGTAGCTACACTTCGATACTTCAGCTAGACACTGAGACACTTGCTAGCAAAAACCGGCCTCCGTCAAGAAGTAAAAAAGCTCACTCGCGTCGCACATTACCGTGTTGACGCTGAAGGTGCTCACGTTAGCATACGACCGCCGGAGACCGCGACGCATATCGGTGCTTCGTATGCTCCCTGGGTAAATTCTTTCGCATCAAACGAAGTATCCTACACTTCGAGACATTTCCGGTTTCTTTTTTCGGTATGCCGCGTCCTCGTTCACGAACTAGCAGTCTGTTTCCGAAGGACACAAAAAGGCCTTCCGTAATGGCTGCGGACAACAGACGACACCGCTTTGTTTACCCTCGCGAGTTCCCCACCTCCCTTCCGGAGCGATCCTCCAATCAGAGCGCGGCGAAGGGACTTCACGGCACCGGCCTGCGCAGAACAGGAGATGGCTTTCCCTTTGGACTGCCGCGACTTCTGCGGCACCGATGACACAGGCTTTCGTTCGGCGTTAAACAGTCCACCGGTAGCAGTCTACGCGGCGCGTGCTTCCGCGAGGTGGCTCTGTCGCTTGGCTGAAAAGGCGAAGGTGTTCGATAAGGCCGGAAAGGGTAAAGACGGGGCGAGAGAGCCACGCACGAAAAGGTCAAAATAAAGCAAATGTTAAATGCGCTTTTCCGCGCGATGAAAAAAAAAATATCAGAAGTAGAAAAACGTTTGCTCCCTGCGCCAGCACTTCGCTCCTTCAAAAGAAAATTTCTTGAGTCTTTGTTTTAACCTTTCGCCTCTAATGGGGGGCCCAATCTAGGCAGATGGTGGAACCCGCGGTAATGTTCACAAAATATGATCAATTTTTTGTGAAAAATATCTGTATTTTTGCAAATACTTTTAGATACATGTTCAAAAAAAGAATTTAATTTATCGTCACCATTACTCAAAAAATGTATCGAGTTACGGTTAAAACATAGCGGAAGAAGTAACAAGTTACAGTATAGCGATACAAGTATCGCGATACTGTAATTTAAGTAGTATCGCGATATGGTAACTAAAGTAGTATCGCGATGCTATTCAAGACTGTTTCCTCCCTTCTAGGCGCACTCAAAAATGACGGCGTTTGCCCGGAAGGGAAAAGACAAATATTCCAGGAGGGGGTGTTGGCAAGGGGAAAAGCTGAGTACGAGGGCTTCCTCTCTTTGTCCTTTGCAAGGAGGTAGACGTGCAGCGCTGTGCCGGCGTTTGAGAGGGTTATATCATGTCTGAATCAGCAGTTGAACCGCAGCGTTCTTTAACAGCGAACGAACTTCAAGCAGTGTTGTGCCAAATGCACAACAAAAGTATTTAAGACACTAAATACCCATTTGAAAATATATTTAGAGTAGTATTTGAGTTACTTTTACTACGAACTATCTTGAATGGAATACAAATACTTTGAAAAAGTAATCGAATTACATTCGAATATACTGGGTAACTATGCTGAAAGCTGGTAATACAAAAATAAAAATGTCAAATGGTGTGCTCTACTTGGAATGACTTCGATTAAAATCATATTCTACTGTTAGATTTATGATATCCAAAAAGCGACTTAGCTGCTGTAATCGATGTTTACTGTGAAATAATTCGAGACATGCTACATAATGGGTGCCGAAGGATTTTAGGAACACGGGGGGGCTCACGTATTGTAGGCATGGCAACTGGCGTGCTTTAGTTTGGCGGCAGGGTCGGATCATGACGCATTCCGCATTAAGTTCGTAATACGCCTTGACGCGATTCGGCGGACTTGACACGTAGTCGGGCATTGCATATCCCTAACAGCCGAACTAGAGGTTGATCAGGCAGCCAGACTTTATGATGAGTAGGCAAGCGAGTGAATAACAAACATGTACTCGCAGGAGAAACATCGACTAAAGGACAGCAGCCTTTGTCGCTGATGAACAACCAAGAGCGAGTAATTTGTCTCCTCGGCCAAGGCGCGAGGGGCAGCGCCTTTTCAACTTTTCAACAGCGCCTGTACCTTCGAACTGCCCAAAAATATTAGGAAGGTTAAGAGGGAAACACAAGTAAAACAAGAGAGTGTCTACGAAACCGCTTTCAATCCCTGGCTCCACCTGGCGGTAAACTGGGTCGGAAGATTTTGACAATGAAACAATGTGCGCATTCGGAAAAAAATGTAAAAATCTCCCCCCCACCAAAAAAAGAAAAAAAAAAGCTAGAAAAAACGCGTTTGAACGAGCCTGGGAGCCAAGGTTAAGCCACAATAGGCACACAAGGGGCTTTGGGGATGCCCAATCTAAGATCAGTGCACCTCAATAAAACCAGCAGGATCTAGTTTCCTTGTCCGAGGGAGTGTTCGCTCTCACTAGAAAACTTGCTCGCACATTTTCATACCAAAAACCCCTGACCGGCGATTTACGAAAATGATCCAGTGTGACCGACCGTACGAAGCATTGGCGTCACAACCTTCTGCTGTCTGAACCAGCTTTGGACAAAATGTGTAAAGTCCCGGTGGCGTCATCAGCACTTTGCTGGCTCCAAGTGTCACGTGTCATTCAAGGACAACTTGAAAAAGAGAAGCAAAAGCGACAGGAGGACATATAAAGACGAGCGTACTTGGGGCTATCCCTTTGGTCTTTTGTTGGCATTCGGAGAATGCCTCTTGCTCGTGACTTGTTCCCTGTCACTTGCCTCAAGTCTGCAATCGCTTCAGCATTGGCTCGGAGTCTGAGGATTCCTAGTTTCGTAGATTGTTTCGGCGACAAAGATTTTCGAAGGTTGAAAATGTATTTGAGATACTGAGTACAAGGCAGTGAAAAATGTAATTAAGATAGAGTAGTAATTACTCTAGACGAAATGTATTTGCATGATACCGAAATGCTACCGAAAGTATATGAAATAGAGTCTCTTGAGTGGAGTTTATAGGATAGGCGTAAGTCTGGTGCAAAGGCACTTCCTACCTGTCGGGATGAAGAAGACGTGCCTGCGAGAATATTACAGAGATGTGTGATTGAGTTTTGTGTTAAGTTTTTGAAAAGAATAAACTGCTCTATAAGGTTTTTTTCTTTTACGCATATAGTTCGAATTGATTTTTCTTAAGTTTTCGAACACTTCCAACATTGCAAAAAAAAACTGTGCGGAAAAACCTTTTATTTTTTTATTTTTTTGTAACACTCCTTCAGAGGATAGTCTGAGAATAATCGCGCCTGCAACGCTAAAAGGGATCTCACAAAAGAGTACGTTAGGTTTCATTGGAGAAAATGTATTGAATGCAAAGGGTGATATTTTGAAGCAGACAAATGTTCGGAATCTGAAGGGTAGTCTGATTCAGAATAAAATAATCTGTCTCGTTACTTTAGTGAGACCCGCCGAACTTACAGAAAATGAGAGAGATAGAAGAAAGGATTGGTGGACTAATAACTATTTATTAAACCTCCGCTTCTTCTTCTACTGGTGTTGCTTCCGCTATTGTTAGGTCTTCTCTTTCTTCTTAGAAGAAAAAAATACAATATCAGTAGCAACACCAAAAGCGCATCGGGTGTCTTTTCCTCTATCTCTATAATCTTTATAATTTTCTGTAAGTTCAGCTGGTTCCACTAAACTAGACATGTACAACCAACTAGCTGAGCTCATACCCCTCGTATGTCTCTTTACTTTACAATCACCCATTGTACAATGGTTCGTATATCTCATTACTTTTCAGTCAACCATTGTACAATGGTTTACGTCACGTTCGGTATAGCCCGGCGACAAAAAAAAAAGACTGCTCAAACCGACTTTTCTTTCACCGTCATTGTGGTTGCAGTAAACGCTGCGGGCGCCGCGTGGGACTGCCCTCGTGGACTGAGCCCCGAATCTTCGTCGTCCTCCTCAGCCAGCTTCGAGCTGGACTTTTCGTCGCCGCCTCGGGGCCCCGACTACTCTCCGCTCATCATACCCTGTCCGGGCAGTTCTGGACAGTCATCGCTCCACTCACCCAGTCTCGAGAACACGGCGGGATCGCCCCTAGTCCTGTCCCCACCACGCAACTATACAGCTTCTCCGTTAAGCCTGACGACGTCTCCGTTAGGCCTAACGGCGTCTCCGCTAAGGCTAAAGACGTCTCCGCCAGCCCTTACTGCATCACCGCTAGGCCGTTCGACGTCTCCGCTAGGCCTAAGGACGTCTCCGTTAGGCCTAACGACGTCTCCGTTAGGCCTAACCACGTCTCCGTTGGGCCTAACGACGTCCGCGTTAGGCCTGGCGTTGTCGGTGTCGCCAGCCTCGCAGCCTTGCCGGTCTCCGGCATTCGAGAGCTGCGCCCGTCCTGCATCGCCGATGGAAGACGCGCGGAGCTTTCTCACGCGCGCGTTCTTCAGCGATGAGGAACACCCAGCTTCGACGTCGGGAACTGGCCTCGTCGGTCACTCACGGTGCGTAAGTTCGGAGTGCTACAGCGTTGCCCGATTATCCAATCAACATTCAGTAAATCATAAAAATCAGCTTTGCTCTCAACGCTCTTGTAATTTATCATGAAAGTGAAACTACTCGCGAATTCGAGTGGTCAGTCGTCGCCAACGTATTTTGACGGAAAACCGGCAATAGTGTTCGCGTGGTCAGTTTCCGGCCGGCGCGCACCGTTCGGGTGGTGGTTCTCCGGCAAGCACCCGCAACTTTCCGGCGCTTTTTCCGGTCGAGCTCCAAACGGCCGGGCGAGCAGGCGCCAGACTGTATGCGGTGTCGTCACTTCCGAAATGGGAGAGGGTCAGTGAGACAAAAAAATGAACGAAAGAACGAAACTGATCTGAAGTCACTTTACCAGCCACTACTCGAGTCAATCCAAGCCGTTGAGACATGGGTGACGGCGGCGACAGCCTCTCGCTACACTCTAAGAAAAAAGCGTGCCAACTAGCACCTTTTAGGGTTCTTTCGCTTGTCCAATGGGCGGCACCCTTAAAGGTGCAGAAAAGAACCCACAAAAAGGGTTCTTTCTAATGAACCCTATTTCGGGGTTCTTTTCGGATCGTTTATTGGTTCTTCTTAATGAACCCTATTTTTGGTTCTTTTCAGAACGCTTCTGGGTTCTATTTAACGAACCCTATTTAGGGGTTCTTCTAGGATCCTTTTTTGGTTCTTCCTAATCAACCCTATTTCGGGTTCTTTCCCGAACCCTTTTTGGTGCTCTTGATGAACCCCATTTCGGGTTCTTTCTAGAACCGTTTCTGGTGCTCTTAATGAACCCTATTTCAGGTTCTTTCCAGAACCGTTTCTGGTGCTCTAAATAAACCCTATTTGAGGGTTCTTTTCGTATCCTTTATTGGTTCTTCTTATTGAACCCCATTTGGGTGCTTTCCAGAACCCTTTTTCGTGCTCTTAATGAACCTTATTTCGAGGTTCTTTACGGTTCCTTCTTTGGTTTTTCTTTCTGAACCCTATTTCATGTTTTATTTGGAACCCTCCTTGGTTCTTTTAATAAATCCCGAGTTCTTTAGATTATGTTGGCGTTATTTTAGTAAACCATATTTTGTACTTCTAACCCTCTCTTATGACAAATGAGTTTTTTTTACATTCCTAGTTAGTTTTTAGTAAATCGTATTTCGTATTTCTTGCTTTACAAGGTGCATTTTTTTCTACCAACCAAAGTGTCTTTAGATTGTTCATTAATCGCTAGCACTGGGCCTTTTCGACAGGTTGACAAACATCAGTCTGGCCAGAGTCAACACACTTCATTCCTGTACGTAATTAACTAGGTGACAGACAGAACAGTAAACATCATGTACAATCATATACTTTATTGGAGTAGCAAAAATTGATTCTTCTGTTCGCAGTAAAAAAGCTAACAAAATTCGAAACAGTTTCAAGACGAGACGGGTATCACTGCCAGCAATGTGCACACAGCTTCTACTGTCGTTCTGATGTCGCTCACTGTCAGGACACCGTCCAAAAAGTTGTCAAATTCATTTTCCTGGAGATGGATGAGTGGCATCAGTGTACGGACTTCCTACAACAAGAAAGCAAGAATATGAACACATGTATTTTCCTCTGTATTATTATGCTGCGAGTTGCTCATTCGCCGCGCTTTCAGATCAATTATAATTGTATAGGTTTCACTAAGCATTTTATTTCTCGTTTAGCCTTACGCTCTAAAACATACCCGCAGATATGATTTCCTTCAAAACATTTAGTGGGTCAATCAGTGCGATCTAGAGAGCGCGACCAGCGGATGACGAAGCGTCCCCTTCGAAGCCCCCTTCGCTACAACAATGTGTAAAAGCGAAAAATGGTACGCAGCATCAAGCGTTCCCTTTCCATCCAAGAAGTAGTAAAGGAAGAAGATCGGAAGTCAATGAATTACAATATATGTGCAGTACACACGTAAAACAATGCCCAACGTGCCACCGAATTTTCTCTGCTTTTAAAAATGCCTGTGCGTCCACTCGAGGGGCCGATCAATGCAATCTACGAAGAAAACTCGGCCAATGGAGAAGCTGAAAATATGTTTGACTTAAAAATGATGTCTGTAACGTGACACTGAGCATGAAGTCAGTACGTGAACCGCCATGCTCAGTGACATCTCTCGCTTCATTCATATGTCTAAACATGCTTTGGCTTTTTTATTCGCCGAGCTCTCTTCGTGGATTGGTGTGATTGGCTTCTCGAGTGTTCTGCGGGAAGTAGATGCACAGGAATTTTAAGCATGTTTCTAGAAACGTTGGTTCTACCCATATTTAATCCTTCTTGCCCTACAGTCAGTAACAGGTTAAGAAAAAATCTACGAGCTGGAGAGGAGGAAGCGGACAGAAGCTTGTAGGGGAGAGGAGAAACCTTCTCTCCATTTCAAGCGTCCATCGGCTTTCTTCTTTTAGATTTTTCTTAACCTGTCATTGACTTTAGTCGCTTATATTTCCTCTATATTATTTTTAGAAAATAAAGCAAGGATATGTTTTATATTACTAGCTCGTATATTGAAGATATAACCCTGACAAGTTTGCATTACCATCTGTGACAATGCACTATACTCGGGGGTGACTTGGGCAACTTTTTTGGCAATGTGTAGTCGAAGTTAAAAACGCCCGTGGATCTTAAGCAATCAAGGCTATGCACACGCACTCTTCACTTCAGAAACGCCACAGAAGTTGTTTCTGAGTATAAGTTAACCCTGTCTTAAACGAATGGCCCCGATAAGCGGTCATCAGTTCGTAATGATGTAGTAAGTTAACCCAGCATATTTATGGTGGACGAAGGTAAACCTCTGCGTCGTCGCAGTCTGAAACTTGTGCTAGATTACAAAAACACCAACTAAAGTATACCTTCAAGCAGCTCTTCGAGGTTCAGAGTGACGTTCTTTTCCTTTGAGGAGCACCTGTGTAGAAGCTGTAAATGCCTCAATCTTGGCTCCCATGTCCTCCGGATGTCTTTGCCGAACGGCAGTTTAACGTCTTGTAGTAACTGAAAAATAAACAACGAATGGACAGTGTTGCTGGTTTACAAAAGTACATTTATGCGCTATGAATTTGTACACAATGATTGTTTACACACACACACACACACACACACACACACACACACACACACACACACACACACACACACACACATATATATATATATATATATATATATATATATATATATTAACTAAACGACCACTTACTGTCACTATAGTGGAGTAGGGCTTGGCGTCAATTAAAATAATTTCGATTTACGTTTTCTTTTATATTGACTAGTTAATCAATTTATAGGTCGCGCTGATCTCGAGGAAAGATATTGTGTCCAGAAAAGGCCTAGAACAACCGATTTTTTCTTTGACAAGTTTTTACTACGTCTTATAAGGCTTAGTACATAACAACTTGTCATTGTGCCTCATACAGAAGTAAGGCATGGCTAACATTTAAAATAAAATATATGTACATATTTGTACAATAACAAGTTCAAATATCAACTTGCCGTTGTGCTCGTACACAAGAAAAGCAGGGAAAACATTTAAAATAAAATATTTGTACGTTATTATTTAAACTTCAAAACCACTCTAGATAATAATCATATAAAACACTTAAGTAGCCATGAGAGACAATTGTGTTATAAACACAAAAAAAGAATTAAATGAATATTCTTTTTACTTTTTTGTTTATAAGACTTTTCGTAACTCTAAATCCAACCAATATGCCTGTTAAACTCACTTGATTCAGAGTAAAACAATAGTTAATTAATCGGAATGTTAACTAATTGATTGCCTAGCCTTATTACGAGGTAAAATTATTTAATTTAGCACGTATCAAAAGCCCTTATCTCATTCACAGGCGATAAAACGGGTAGTAAGAAACTTTTTGAAGTCCTGATGATCTGTAAAAATCTCGAAACTTTAAGACTAAATATAAAGAAGATAATATTGAGTTACCATTCCGGGAATCGTCATTGCCGGAAATTCCTCAAGGACTGTGAGGGCTCCAGCATCGCTGAGGATCCATTCTTGGCAAGACTGAAACGTCCGCATCATGCGGTCTTGTATCAAGTCGACGTTCAGGGGCGCTTTAGTTATCTCTTCGTTCATGAACAAAACATGACGGCGAGCACTCACGGCGTCTTCACATTTGTGAGTATCAACGAATCCCTAAAACAAAAACAATTTGTTACGTTGATGCTCCGTTTACGCATGTAAGCTATTTACATAATAGTTGCAGCACTGAATATAGGACCAAATATAACAGTTATTTTTATCAAACATACATCCACATTTGTGCAAACACAAAATGCACAAAAAGTTCGCGCCTGTCGATTTCCGCACAACACTCCAAGAGCCAATCGTTGCAACCTGCGAAGTCCTCTCAGCGAATGACGACGCGGAACATACGTTTAGACCAAGAAATGCAATCTGCGCTGTTACATTAAGCAAAGCAAGCGGGACGTTTTGCATTCCCTGATGTCGCAGACAGCATCTTTGGGTCTAACCAAATGTTCGGCACCCTCATTAGTTGAGCGGTGCCGTAAATTGCAGTGATTGGCTCTCAGAGTGCCATGTCCCTGGCCGGTCAAAAAACAAAAACGTTTACAGCACCTATTCGCTCACGTTTATTGGGGCCATAAATACGGATACATTAGCTAATTAAAGCCCGGTAACATACGTTGTTACATTTACGAAGAGATATCAATGCT